ATACGGAATACTAGGCTTTATAAATAGGGGCATAGAATACAAAACTCAGGAAGTTATGACGAATCTTTATAAAAGACTGGGTTCAGTTCTGGGCACCACACATTAGGAAGGATACGAGGTCATTGGAGAGGGTGTAAAGGAGATTTACCAGGATGGTACCAGAACTGAGGGACTCCAGTTATCAGGAGAAGCTAGGATTATTCTCCTTGGAGCACAGAAAATTAAGAGGAGACTTAATAGAAGTTTTCAACATGATGAGGGGATTGGACAGAGTGAACAAGGAGAAACTATTTCCACTGGTGGGTGTGTCGGTAACCCAAGGACACTGATTTTAAGATAGTTGTTGAAAGAAACAGAGAGAAGGTGAGGAGAAATTTTTTCACACAGCGAGTTGTTCGGATCTGGAATACATTGCCTGAAAGGATGGTGGAAGCCATTTCGATAACAACTTTTAAGAGAAAGAAGTAGATAATTATTTGGGGAGGACAAGTTTGCAGGGCTATGGGGAGAGAATGGGGGAGTGGGATTGATTTGCATAACTCTTTTCAAAGAGCAGGCACAGACACGATGGGCCGAATGACCTCCTTTGTGCTGTATAATTCTATGATTCTATGAATATCTTGGTTATGCTGCAGTGACCCTGAAACCAGTTGAAAACAGTCTCTGAATTGCAGTAGAAACACTATGGTTTTACTGTCAACTGGCCAATACAGAACAATAGAAACCATTAATACAATTACATTGTATTAAATGTAATTTTGTTGTTGTCGCCTGGAGCTTGGCTGCCCAATACGCAAGGACAGCAAGCTTGAGCGAAGTACACTGGCCGTGACATGACTGGTTTCTTTGCCCCAATGTATTTTGTATTCATACCGCACATATGGAGTATGATTAAGTATCTTAAATATCTTTAAGATGTCAGTTTTGGGAATACTTACTGTTCCATGCTGGCTAAAGTCTCATATTGTTATGGGGCATCATTTTATTTCACTGACAGTCAAATGCGTTTTCAGCTAAAGATTCCCATAAAGTGGTGCTGCTACTGGATGATCTGCAAACTGAGCAGCACATTCTATTGATTTCTTTGTTTGGTTGATTTCTTTCTTTTTTTCTGTTTCATATCTGGTTCACAAGAAGATTAAACTGATGCTACTGATCATCAAGGCAGGGCGAAATCTTAAACACTGCTGTGTGCAATCAGCTGCATTTTGGCTAGTCAATTCAGTTTACAGTATATTCTGCGAAGCGCTTTGAGACCTCTCAATGTCATGATAAGACATTATATCAAACGCAAGGATTATTATTATTATATCAAGCAACAGAGTTTGGACAATTACAATAGTCATATCCAGGATTTCAGCTGTATTTCACAGCAGTGCCAGCCCCTTATCGGAGCAACATGTTATATCTCCATATAAAATCAAGAGCCCGTTCATTACACAGGCACAATATTACCTTACAATGAAATGCTATTTCTTAATAATAATGATCTTTGCATTTGATGTAGTACCTATAATTTTGTGATGTTTCAAAGGGCTTAACAGATAATTGTGGCAAAATGACGTGACTGTAGTTAATGCAACAGCCATTACGCACACATGAAGATCCAACACCGAGCCATGAAGTGAATGATAAATTTACCTGTAGGATTGTTAGCTAAGGCCCCAGGAGAAACTCTCTTCTCTTTTAGACGAGTGGCATGGGGATATTTAACATCCACCTGATTGTGCAGATGGGACCTCAGTTTAACGGTCTGCTCATTTATAAGCTTGCGTGTATGGCTCAGTGGGCAATTACACCGCACAGTGTGATACTGAGCTCTTCCAGACGAGAAAGGTTCCACATTCAATAGCTGGTTTATACTGAATTTACTGATCTCTCTCAAGGTGACAGTTGAGATGCTACAATTGATCTCAGAGCTTTGGGCTAGAAATCCAAATAAATTAATCAGGGCCCGTCCTGATTGTTGTCCACTGACCTCAGCTGGAAAGTGTGCACATGTAAACATCAGGAGGGGACTCGATACACTCAGTTTTGATGACTAAGTGGCCAAAGAATTGCAGACACTCATTATAGTAATAATAATCCTTGAAATTGATACAGCGCCTGACTACATCATTGAGACATCTCAAAGCACATCACTTTAATGTATACTGATTATATTTTTAGGCAAACACAGCAGCCAATTTGTGCAAAGCAATGCCCAAGAAACAGCCAGAATTGAATGACAAATTTAATTTGTTGGCTAGGACACCGGGAAAAATTTCTTCTCATTTCGAATTGTGCCATGGGATCTTTAATGTGCACCTGAAAAGGCAGATGGAAGCTCAGTTTAATGTTTCATTTGAAGGACAGCACGTCTTGGGACGTCCTCCTGACGTGAAAGGCGCTTTATAAATGGAATCTTGTTGTTGTTGTTGTTGTCTAACAGTGCAGCACATTCCCAAGACTGCACTGAATTATCAGTTAGACCTTCTGCTGTGTACAATTGGCTGTCATGTTGCAACCATAAAATATGCAGTCAATTCACTTTACAATATATTCTGTGAAGCGCTTTGAGATATCTCCGGGTGTAATAATTCCTTCAAAAAAAATAATAATAAATTGGTCATTTAATCCACGACTGTGTATGGGACACTGCTGTGCGCAATTGGCTGTTGTGTTTCGCCCACAAAATAGACAGTCAATTCACTTTACAATATATTCTGTGGAGCACTTTGAGACGTCTCAAAGACGTGTATGGCAATATATCAAATGCAAGGATTATTATTATATTATTATTATCGAGGCTTACATGAAGAATGGTTACTTGGGTGAGATATCAGCAGGATGGCCACACATGCGGAACTGTATTACACAAGTCAACGTCTTCAGGAGTGAAGGCAGAAAATGGAGGAAAAAATTGTTTTATAATAATCACCAGTTGCCTTTGGCTTTTTTGCTAGTATATTATTATACATCAATTATTCATGTGTTTTGGTTATTGTCAGTGGCCTTATGTTTAAGCAGAATCTTTAAGAGCATTAAAAGCAAAGAACAGGGACTATGCAAAACGTACTTTACATCGGGAAATACCACACAGACAATCCCATTCCCAAAGCTTCCAAAAAACAAACTCTGTAAGATTCACCCACCCTTCACACCTCCAATAACTCAGCTTTGGCTCCTACTCCCCCTAGACAGCATTCCTCCTTCCCCCCAGCAGTTAAGAAACCATTTTGTTCCAAGCAGTATTTTCTCATCTTGGTCTATAATTATCTCTTAAATTCCCTCTGGCTGGGAATATTTTGGCTACAGATTTGTTTGGACCTGGGCCTCATTTCCTGGATATGGTGCAATGACTCTGTACTCAGCCAAAATCTGGTCCTCGATGATCTTTCTGAACATCGTCAATAAAACCAACATTTTAATCTGTGCTTAACAAAGATGATTTGTCATCTCTGATTTCCTTTTTTTTTGTAGATTCCACTTCTTTATTGATCTCTCAGATCTTTCAGCAATGTAAAAACAAATCTCATTTTTTTTGTACGTATCAGATCTGAAGATAGGAATCAAGCCCTATTTTGGCAGATAATTGTCCTGTGTTCTGTTTCCCTGACTTTTAAAGTGGAATTCAGGTGATTGTAATTCAAACTACCAAATTCTAATACTGTGCTTACTCTGACTGACACTGCATTCATTTTCAACCTTATAAGCGATATAAAAAAAGTTACAGAAGATTTAACAGTTAGATTTCCATAAAATGAAATGGCATTCTTGGTGATGGCTTAGAATTGCTTTCTTATTTTGTGTACGCATGTGTATGTGCGAATTAGGGATGGGAGGTTGTGGTGTTATTCACCCAGTATGTTTGTAAAATGAACGTGTTGTAAAAGACTTTATGGTTGTGGGTGGGGGGAGAGTGTATAGAAGAGGTATAGCACCTTATCATGTCTTTGAGTTGTCTCAAAGCGCTTCACAGAATATACTTTAAAGTGAATTGACTGTATATTTTGTGGGTGAAACGCGGCAGCCAATTGCGCACAGCAGCGTCCCACAAACAGTGGATTGAGTGACCAAATTATTATTATTATTTTATTTATTTTTTAAGTGATTATTACCCCCGGAAAAGCGATCCGCCGATCGATTAACAGCCGTGTTCCTACTCACTGTTAAACAAACAGTGAGGCGTAAGGAAACTTGCCTAACGTTTCGTCTCGGCCGGGAATTAAACCCGGGTCCCCTCGCTTGCGAGGCGAGTGCTCTAACTAACCAATATGCTACAGGACTCCAAATTGGTGGGATTTCCATCCTTCCCTTCCAGATACCCTTCTCCCCCCCCCCCCCCTTCTCGCTATCTCTCTCCAGAATATATGGTGCACTAGGACCGAGGAGAAGTCTTCCAGCCAGAATCTGCCTGGCGGGGGGTTAAGTGAGTTACCGGTGGAGTTGGAGGAGGCGCTGTAGCCATCTTAAAGCACAGATGATCTGAGCCACTAACATTGCAGCCAGTGAGCTGCAAACAGTGCACATATCTGCTGTGCTGCCTACCACAGACAGGGCAGGGCAGGGTGGGGGGGACACAGGACAGACTCAGAGTGGCCACAGCAGTGGAGGACAACAGCTCTCCTGCTCAGGTCTGCAGAGCACATCCAAGGTCCAGGCACTGTCTGGTGCTCCACCACCACCACCACCTTCTCTCTCTCTCTCTCTCCCTCTCTCCTTCCCTCTTTCCCTTCCCCACCTGGTTTATCATCCAAAACCTACCTCACCCACCCACCCACCACGGAAAGCTTCACGAGAAGCAGAGGTCGTGCTTGTTGCGGAGTTTGTTCAAACAGGGAGGAGAGACCAGCTTTAGTTTCCCTGACTGAAATTGTCCAGGAAAGTGCATTTATTTGTGTGTGTGTGTGTGTGTGTCTGTGTCTGTGTCTCTGTGTGTTGTGCTTCTTTTTTTTTGGGGTGGGTGGTGGTGGTGGTGGTGGTGGTGGGGGGTGAGGACGGGACAAAAAAAAAAAGGTGGGAAATCTGGACTTTTTATTATTTTTTTAAAAAAAAAAATAAAAAAACCCCAACATGGGTGGAACAGTGACCTGGAGGAGCCGGGATCGGGTCTTCTTCTCCCTGGCGGTGTTTGTGGGGGTTTTGCTCCCCTTCTCCAGGACCCTGACCTACACGAATCACTGGGCTGTGCGGATAAACGGAGGAGTGGAGGAAGCCGACACGATAGCCTCTAAATACGGATATAACAACTTGGGACAGGTGAGCGATGCGCGATGCCATTCCTTTTCTGCGCATTCCCACTATCCCGACAGCTCGGGCTCAGCGCTCGACGACATCTGTCCTGTGCTGTGCTGTGTGCAGTGCCTCTCAGTCTGGACACAGGTTAACGTGTGGGTGTGTGGGTGTGTGGGGGGGGGGGGGGGTGTGTGTGGGTGTGTGTGTGGGGGGGGTGTGGGTGTGTGTGTGGGGGGGGTGTGGGTGTGTGTGTGGGGGGGGTGTGGGGTGTGTGTGTGGGTGTGTGTGTGGTGTGTGGGTGTGTGTGTGTGGGGTGGGTGTGTGGGTGTGTGGTGTGTGGGTGTGTGTGTGGGGGTGTGTGTGGGGGGGTGTGTGTGGGGGGGTGTGTGTGGGTGTGTGTGGGGGTGTGGTGTGTGGGGGTGTGGTGGGGGGGGTGTGTGTGTGGGGGGGGTGTGTGTGTGGTGTGGGGTGTGTGTGTGGTGTGTGTGTGTGGGTGTGTGTGTGTGGTGTGTGTGTGTGTGTGGTGTGTGTGTGTGGGGACATTTATTTCTCTCTGTGTCTCTCTCACTCTCCTCCTTCCTCCTCCTCCTCTCAGTAGATTTAAGACAGTTCTGTTCTGCACATTCACTGCTAATCTATTTGAAGTTGTGGCTAACAACTGCCCCCCAACCCCCCCCCCCCCCTTCTGCTGTGACAGTCTTTTCTCCCCCCCCCCCCCCTCCCCTTTTTTTTAATTGCAATCGTTCGGTTTTGTGAACAGTCAGAGACGTGTCTCTACACTCAGCTCTCGAGTATTTACGTGTGTGTGTGTGTGTTTTTATTGATTTATTTATTTATTTATATATATATATATAAAAGGGTTATTTCCAAATGGAAGTACCACACGCGAATCGTCCCAACAAAACGTCTTTATTGCAATGAAGTCTTTGCGGTTCACTGTGTGTGTGTGTGTGGGGGGGGGGGGGGGGGGGGTGCAGGGAGTTTGGGAGGTTGTAGCAGTGCAGCCGCAAATGCTTTCAGGTGGAGAGGCAAGTTTGGTGCGGGGCAGGTGTGCTCCCCCCCCCCCCCCCCTCTCGGAGCAGCCCTGTAAGTGTTGCTCAGGGTCCGGACAAGGTTCTGCATCAAACCGGAGAGAGGCGATGGAGGGGGTGTGGGAGATGCACTGACTGAGTTACCGGTCTGTCTGATGGACAGATCACAGATCGCGGTGTGTGTGTGTGTGTCTATGTGTGTGTGTGTGTGTCTCTGTGTGTGGGGATGTCTCTGTGTGTGGGGATGTCTGTGTGTGTGTGTGTGTCTATGTGTGTGGGGATGTCTCTGTGTGTGGGGATGTCTCTGTGTGTGTGTGTGTGGGGATGTCTCTGTGTGTGTGTGTCTGTGTGTGTGTGGGGATGTCTCTGTGTGTGTGTGTCTGTGTGTGTGTGTGGGGATGTCTCTGTGTGTGTGGGGATGTCTCTGTGTGTTTGTGTCTGTGTGTCTATGTGTGTGGGGATGTCTCTGTGTGTGTGTGTGTGTGTGTGTCTGTGTGTGTGTGGGGATGTCTCTCTGTGTGTGTGTCTGCGTGTGTGTGTCTATGTGTGTGGGGATGTCTCTCTGTGTGTGTGTCTGCGTGTGTGTGTCTATGTGTGTGGGGATGTCTCTGTGTGTGTGGGGATGTCTCTGTGTGTGTGTGTGTGTCTGTGTGTGTGTGTGTGTCTATGTGTGTGGGGATGTCTCTCTGTGTGTGTGTGTGTGTCTATGTGTGTGGGGATGTCTCTCTGTGTGTGTGTGTCTGTGTGTGTGTGTGTGTGTGTGTGGATGCTCACCGACTGGTATTCCAGGAGCTGCTCTCAGTTAGAGTCAGAGCTGGGACATCAAGAGGATAAGATCTATTCCTCTCTGTTTAAACGTTCACGAATGTGCTTCCCTCTCTGTTTGGCAATGAGAGAGAGTGGACTATGATAGCTATGATATCATTATTAATAATGTTTATTATTATTAGCACTCAGTAAAGCGCCCTCCTGTCTGGGGCTCACCACTTTCCCCTGCTCTCACTCTTCGAGGTCGATCCTTTAAATGTAATTTATATTTTTCACCCTAAAATTGCTGTTAACATTTTTTTTTTGGAAATCGATGCAAAACCTAGTTTTCAACTCGGTTTGTAATGTGGACGAGGGGGGGAGAGAGAGAAAGATTAATTGTGTCACAAGTTTGACCATGAACCTAATCAATCAATCGATCCTCCACTAAATATTGTACATTGGTCTTATTTATTATCGATAAACCTTTCTTCCTTCTCATACTTAAGTCATCAGAGTCCTGTAGCTCAGTGGTTAGAGCACTTGTCTTGCAAGCGAAAGACCTGGGTTCGATTCCTGGCAGGGCGAAACCTTGGGTAAGCTTCCTTACTCCACACGCCTGATAATAATCCCTCAAGAAAAAACAATAATAAATTGGTCACTTCAATCCACGACTGTTTGTGGGACACTCTGTGCGCAATTGGCTGCTGCGTTTTGCCCACAAATATACAGTCAATTCATTTTACGGTATATTCAGTGAAGCGCTTTGAGACGTCTAGAAGATGTGAAAAGTGCTATATCAAATGTTATTATTATGAAGATCACTTCTGTTCTCTGCCTCGGGTCCATTATTTTTATACATGTTGAATTTGATGTTTTGCCTTGTGTATTTAACCCATAAATTGACAGATATCTGCAGCTCATTATGGCCACAATTATAAAGCTACATTAAGAAAATCATTGCTACTTTCTGTCTCCCTCCACACACACCAATTTTGTCCCATTCTTTCTCCTATAGGGATATGATTCCACATGTGCAAGGCACCTTTCCATAACTTGCTACTTGTGTGTGAGGTTTGTCAGTAAGTTTTAGTGGGCATGGAGAGCATTACAGCTGAGCAGGTTCCTGTCATCACTCAGACACCTTTAGCAAGGATCTATTGTTTAGAGATCAGGAATCTGACAAAGCCTGATTTTATTTCTCCCACCCACACCAATTCCTTAACCCAGGAGTGCCGAGGCCAACTGTAGTTCCATGAATACTGCCCTGTTTGAGAACAGCTAACTTAGCACAGATAAGGATTCAATACAATCTTCCTCTCCATAGACATGATGAAAAATGTTTTGCCCATGTCTCTTACTCACCTTCAATCTTTCATTGTATTTTTAAAAAAATAAAAAATGTTTTGCCCCTTACACTTTTCATTAAAAAAAATCTATAACCTTTTCTTCCATCTTGCCTCTTGTCAGTTTGGAAAGTGGAAGTGCCTTATTTTTGTTGCCGATTTTTCTCTCCTCATCTCACTAAGAGGGTGACTATTGCTGGTGTAATGTTCTGTAAGCATTGGCAGATCTTCAATCCTATATCTCACTGAAGTAAACATTCTTCATGTGTAAACCGAGGCAGCCAGGACTGGTTTATCAATGTAAACATCACAAGCCTGTCCTGTTCTCCTGACTCCCAATCTGTCACCCACCTGCCTGCAGCACTCCCTCCATCCATAGTGGAGTCTTGTAGCATAGTGTTTATCCCATTCACCTCACAAGCAAGAGGACCCGGGTTCGATTCCTGGGCAGGTAGGGCGAAATCTTAGGCAAGTTTCCTTATTTCACACAACACGCTTCTGTTTACCTAACAGTAAGTAGGAACCCAGGTGTTAGTCGATTGGCAGATTGCTTTCCAGGGATAATAATCCCTTCAACAAAAATTATATATTAAAAAAAAGTGGACACTTACTCCACCACTGTTTGTGGGACACTGCTGTGTGCAATTGTGCTGCCATGCGTCGCCCACAAAACACAGCCATTACACTTTACAGTGTATTCTGTGAACTGCTTTAAGATATGTCGATGTGATAAGGCACTATATCAAATGCAAGTATTATAATTATCACCGTGCCCTTTCCAATGGGCCTACTGAGTGGGAGCAGGGAACTCAGGCTATCAATCCTAAGGTAGTGTTGAGGCCATTTATATTGCCACTATTGCTGAGCTCAGCTGGCTCAGCAGACTATGAACTAAGCCCTCAATCTTCTGGCATGTATGGCTTACACCTGCACGAGGTTGGGGTAAACTTGTGTTTTGCACAAGAAAATGCAAACTTTTTCTCCTTCGGATGAGACATTACACCAAAGCTCTGTCTGCCTGTTCAAGTGAATGTTACAAAGATTCCTTGGCACTATTTGAAAAGAGATTTCTCATGGCGTCCTGGCCGACAATCCACCAGATAAGATTGATCATTCACCGGTTGCTTTGGGACATTGCTGTGCGGAAATCGGCTGTCGTGTTCGGCTACAAATACACAGTCACTGCACTTCAAGGTAGAAGCTTGTGAAGTGCTTTGAGGCACTTCAACAATGTGATTAGTTGCCATATCAAATGAAAGGATTATTATTTATTTGTACTGTAATAGGTCTGCAGTACAAATAATTCAATAAAATAAAAATGTCCTCCAATTAGGGGTGGTAATATAACTGCAGTAGTAGACTAGTCATCAGATCCACCTTTGTAAGAATGTTTCCTTTTTAAAGTTGATGACCGTTACTCTGAAGATATGCTTCTGCTGATGCCAACAGTCTAACAATGTTTGGCAAAGGGGTTGTTCTTCACGAGGACAATGATTGTTGGTAGGTTATTGGATTGTGTGGACCATAACAACCCAGTATGATTCCAGCCACGTGCCAATTTGAACAGCGATGGCTGGAGAGCGATTTCTGAAGAAGACACCATGACTATTGTGTGTTTCAGGAGGATTCTGTTCTAACATCTTTTCTCCCCAACCAAGGGACAGTGAGACCGATTGCAGTATACCCACATCTACCCCATCTTACTCTATTAACTCACACAGAAGGGTAGAAATGTGCTTTCTCCTGATGGCCCAGTGGATAATAATAATAATAATAATCCTTGCATTTGATATAGCGCTTTTCACGTCGGGAAGACGTCCCAAAGCGCTTCACAGAACATACTGCAAAGTGAATTGACTGTATATTTGTGGGCGAACGCGGCAGCCAATTGCGCACAGCA